GTCGATAAGCCTGAGTGGTCTGTTTCTTTGTATTTGTTCAAATAATTGTTATATTTGTCATAATCATGTCTTGTGATTATTTGACAGGAGTTTTACTTTTAAAATGTAAGTGTTTAATTTAGTTATGTTAGTTTAGTTATGATGTAAATACAATAAAAATTAAACCAAGATTTAGAATAATTATCATTTTGATCCATACATTAGTAATGTCTGACTGGACCTCGTGACACTTTGTTCAATAAATTGGGCCCCGAGGTCAAAAAGGTTAAGAAGCCCTGGTTTAACCACCCTAAACCACTGCTTTTAATGGTTATTAACATTAAAAAATTGGGGAACTATTGAGCTGGGCTGCAGAAAACGTAGATGTAAAGGTTAAGCACCGTCTTGGAGAGTTCGCTCCCTGATTCCATGATGCGCAGACACAACGGGATGATTTCAGTCGTTAGAAGGAAGTTAATCACTTCCTGTTCATCTGTTTTCACCAATGCACCTGTTAAAAAAACAAAACAAAACAAAAATAAATCCTGATTCTGCACATGGAAGTTGAATTCTGACAGTTCTGTGTAATCACCAATAAAAAACAGGAGGATTAATTACCTATGACTCCCAGGCTGGTGAGACGCAGGTACTCAAACGGTCGTGTTTTGCTCACAGTGTGAAGGAAAGGATAAAGGAAGAGAGGAATGTGTGCTGCAAGAAAAGCTGACCTGGTAATGAGAGAAAAAATTAAGGRGCTTTAATAAACGGGACCAAACACAGTATATGTACAAAATAGTAGAAATAGCAGTTTTTAGCTCTTTTTACCGTGTTTCTGGATGAGAGGCGACACACTGCAGAAGAGCCAGAGCGTTACACACTCTGTTCGACTGATGAGCTGTGAGGGTTGGTGGGTTTATAGATGGATAGATGTTCACTATTTCCTTTAAAGAAAAAAGGACAAACCAATTAAAAAAAAAGTTCACTATTTGACTAAAAAAGTGCACCCGGAGGGTCCGACAGGTGCTGAGCTCACCTGCAGCAGGGCAGCAATGGTGCCGAAGGAGTGCCAGAGCATCGGCGCCAGGTCCGGTACCGATTCCCGTTTCTTGCTTAGCTCCAGCAGGGCATTTTCTCTGGTTTCTGGGCTGGACAACTCGTTGATCCATTGGTAAATCTTCTCCCGGTCTACCTGGGCCAAGGCTGTGACGTTAGTTACAGCCTGGGAAAAACACAAAACCATAAAGTCCAGTCACCACTAGGGGTGTAAGAAAATATCGATACACTGAAATATCGCGATATTTCATTTCCTGATACTGTATCGATATTCTAAAGCC